CCCCTGCTCTCCCTTTTTAGAACTTTCTTTTTCCAAAACTCCCATTTCTTTCAAACCCATGCCATCCATCCATATCACCTATTATCTCTCCTTGTGCTCATCCGAATACCCTGCCCCCTTGTCCAGCCAGCACGGGATGCTGAGTAGAAGTCCCAAAAGTAGGTATTGAGAAAGTTGATCCATGATGTGTGCAATCATTTTGAAAACAAAACAAAAAAACTAGGTAGAGTACAAATTCGACTTGCCAACTGCATAATAAGAGCAGGTGCAGTCTAAGCAAAGTGTCCGTACGCCGGAATCACTCACGAGATCTGGATATTTGCATTCTATATTCTGCCTAAGTTTTGTCAGAGAACCGGCCAAGACGTGGCCTGTTGCGAAGCCAAGTTGATATTTATACCCTAAATATTTACGATTTCTTTTAAGAGTCGGCAAGGGCACAAGATGAAGGAGTCACTCGGTATGACTTCAGCAGTAAGTTCCTGTCCCTTTCATAGGTTTGCTGCTACAGTAAGCAAGAACCGAGGAGCCCGCCGGCCTGGCCATGCCTGTCCTGCGCGGTCCGGATTTCTACCATCATTGCTTCCAAATGCTGCCCTCTTCTGGCCAGAGTGCTTACTGGCAGAGCCTAGCGACAGGAGCCTGCTTGGGGACACAGATGGGAACAGAGGCAGGGATACCGTGCAGGAATGACAAGCACCATGAGACAAATGTGGGAACAAAACGGGAAAGGTAAATCTACAGCACCCCCCCAGCCTCGATGTTCACTGACTCGGCGTGTCTCCTCCTTGATCTTGTCTAAAGTCCACCTGAAGAAAACCAGTCAAGTCTAAAAACTCATCAGACTTGCTTTAGCACCTACCGCAAGCTGAGGGCTTGGAAGAGCGAAGGCACCGTTGTCAAGGCCCCTCTCCTCTCTCGCACACGAGTCCCGCATGCAGCCTTTATCCTGCTTCACCTGTTGCTCTGACTTGCTGGGCGTGTCGCTGTCCCCGGAACCTCCACACGCAGCTGACCTGCTCTTGGACCCCCGGGGAGCCTTCCCGATGGCACCAGGGGTTTCCCCTCATTGCTAAAAGGTATATGGAATTGCTTCGCCACCTGCTGAATCTGGGATCCTCTCTCTCTAGAAAATTCTACATTGGTGATAGAAGCTGGGAAGGAAGCATGTTTAAAAAAAGAAGAGAAATAGCAACTTTCGCCAGGGCAAGTAACTAAAATGTGAACTTTAATGTCTTTTATAGTTGATCCCACAGTCTAAAGGCTCCATGTTCGTCTTTATCAGGGTCAACATCACTTACCAACACACAGGCTGCAGATCTCCCAAGCGTGCTTCGCTTTACAGCGCATCTAGGAAATGCTGATATGGGTCCCGCACACTCACGCTAACCACCGAGGCTGCTCACAGCCAGAGGCGACCACCACCAGGCAGACAGCCTAGGGGGACAAAGGGGTTAATGTGTTAGCACACCAGTAATGGGCACACTGGTTAGGAAGCCGTGGTCTAGAAAATGCACCAGACTAAGGCAAAGTCGCTTGCTTTAATCAAGTTATCAGGAAATCCTGTGGACAGACCCCAAGGATTAACAAGGAAAAACAAGCCAATTTGAATGCAAACAAAACATACCGAGCTCCACAATTCTTAGGGCGGCCCACGGTTGGTTCCTGTGGTTTCCTTCCTGGGGTGTCCTTCAGTGTCCCCGCTGCCTCTACCTGCTCATTCTCTCAGGGCCAGCTCCAATGTCCCTTTGCTACATGGTCTTCCTAACCATATCAGCTTCCCTGTCTGCTTTGGCCGCAGGACTCAGAGCCCGTCTGCCACCATTTGGCACTTGGTCTGGGGTTATTCACGGACGTTTCCTTGGAGCATGTTTAATCCTCTACCCACGTTCTCTGGCCTTTCAGGGTCGCATACCCCTTTGCTGGCCAAAATAACCCAGATCTCAGTCCTCATTAGATGACATCTGGAATCCCCATCCTCCCCGTAGGTGATACTGAGGATTAGTGGAGAGATGCACCTGCCCTGGCTGATGCGCCTAACTGCTACTGGGCATGCTCTGTGCAGGCTCAAGTGTTTCCTTGCTCTGTCTGTCCCTGTGTAGACCTCAGCTTCCCTCTTATTTTACACATCTACCCCCCACCCCAGCACAGCCAACAATAAGGCACAATAAGGCTTGAGGATGCACAATAAAAATGGGAATGCATGCAAGGAATCTTTAGAACTTAGGAATCACTGCTCCCACATCCAGCAGCCTTCTCCCAATGTACAGAGTCCTCTCCTTGTTGTCTCTCACCTCCGTCTGTCTTGTGAACACGTTGCTATGGTTTCAGTCCCTCCTCATGTAAGTGGGAGTCCCCCTGACCCAGTTCTGAGTCCAAAACTTCAATTTCGTTTTTGTCCAGCGCTAGCTCCAGAGGATGAAATACAATAGTAATTCCCCAAAGTTGGAGCTCTGTCCGCTATAAAGGTGGCCATTCCCATGCCTTTGCAAAATTGTTTCTCTCTTCTTTGTGGCAACCACGCATATGAGACTAAAGCCAGGGCTAAGCTTTGTATATTACAAATGCCTCTTAAAGAGTTTCCTCGAACAATAAAAAGAGTCTTTCCTTCCAATATCAAATGATGCTGCTAGTATCCTGATATGTGCATATGACTGAAATTTTTTATTGACTTATTTTTTTATTTTTATTTTATTTATTTTTATTTTTTTAAGATTTTATTTATTTGACAGAGAGAGACACAGCGAGAGAGGGAACACAAGCAGGAGGAATGGGAGAGGGAGAAACAGGCTTCCCGCTGAGCAGGGAGCCCAGTGTGGGGCTCGATCCCAGGACCCTGAGATCAGGGCCTGAGCCAAAGGCAGACGCTTAACGACTGAGCCACCCAGGTGCCCCAATTGACTTATTTTTCAAATTAAGCAGGCTCCATGCCCTTGAACTCACGACCCCAAGATCAAGAGTCACATGCTCTAGCCGACTGAGCCAGCCAGGCACTCCTGACTGAAATTTTTTAAACTTTTGCCTGTTTTTGCCCTAATTTGCCAAATTTATCTGCCTCAATGACAAAGAACAATGCCTGTTTTCTTGGGTTTGTGGCCAAAATACTGTCAATTTTTCACGAAGGAAAGTGGTCCGTAACAGGAAGCTAGAAATAGATTTCTGTTAGAGCAGCATGGTAGAGACTTGTTCCTCTGAATGTCTGTCTACCCCTTCTTCCTGCTGCCACAGTGAGACACTTGGTCATTGTTCCTTTTAAAGCAAGAAATAAACATCGGCATTATTTCAGGCATCATGTTTTGGGTCTAGTACCCCAGTTAGCCTCCCCTTAACACAAGCTATAAATGGATACATCAGAGATGCCCCTGCTGAGATGTGGAGTTAGTGGAGGTCTACGTGGTATGAGGAGGGACACTTATGGTCAAGGAGAGGCCTGCCCCCCACGCCTTCGTGACTTCCATCCCAACATTCTGTCTGAAATCCCACCACACAGATTTCATTACTTTGGATAAAGACATAATATTCTTAGGAAGCTTCTTTAAAAAAATTATATCACCTGATGTTAACTCACTGCAATTAAAATAAAAAAAAACTACATCACCTGAAAGAGATAGCACATAAAACCATTCCCTTTAATCACCCCTTTGCAGAGATGACCTTCTCAAATTTCTTTCTGCTGAAACATCTAGTGAAAAGTCACGGAAGGGACACAGGCCGTGAAATGTCAAAGGGCAGATGGGTGAAGGAGAGCTGGAGGGGTATCTGGAGCATGGAGCCCTTGAGTTTTTGTTCCAACGGACACGAAAGTCTGGGCAGCAGTGGGTGGGATGTGGGACCATAAGATCCTGGAGAAACCTTGAGAGAGAACCAGAAAGTTCAAAGAAGGGAGAGGAAGGCGTTGAAGGCAAATCTCTTGCTCGATAATTTGGCTGAATACCGATCCTTAGATCGGTTGTCCCAGCCTTTCCCTGTTTTAAGCGAGTGATTTCGATGGCCCAGCCCACTTTTTAGACCCGCCCACGGCCCCTCTGGAGAGCCCTGTGCAAAGTCATCAGTGAACCTTGGGATTTGTTCAAATGTAACCATACGCGCCCTTTCAGGGTTTGGATGTTTTGACTAATTTTTCCCTCAGTACCTTCCTTAGAGATTCCTCTAACGATAGCTACCATTTCAGATGATGAAGTTATTTTTCTCTCTACGGCTCATGGAAAAGACAGATAGGTGGGCAGGGTAAGGCCTTTGGGGTTATCGGCACCCAACTCAACGACCAAATAATTCAGGACCATCTGTCCATGTACGGTTAGTTTTTAAAACAACTGTGGGCACATGGCAATCGGTTTTGGGGTTAAAAATATTAACAGGACATTAAGATTAACAGTGATGAAACAGAACATTAAAGATTTGCATCCAGAAGGTGACATGTTGCGGAATAGCTGTGTATTCAGGGGTGGCAAATCCTGGAGCCAGTGTCCTTGGGCAATCTGCCCCGACCAAACTCGGCTGTGTTCTCATTTCCTTGAGGCCAGCCGTGGAGGTAGCCGGCTTCCCTCACGGATGTGATCGCTGTAGCTCTGGCCCATAGTTACATTGGTCCTACCCTACACCACCTAGATGCTTCTATTCGTTGTCTCTGGCTGCCAAAATAAATCACTGAAAACTTACTGGCTTGAGCAATGCACATTTATTTTCTTACAGCTCTGTAGGTCAGGAGTTCAACCCTGGATTCACCAGATAAAAACGAATGGTGGGCAGGGCGGCGTTTCTTCCTGGAGGCTCCAGGGGAGAAGCCGTTTCCCTGCTCATTGAGGTCAGTGGCAAAGTCCAGGCAAGGCACGTGTGCTTAGAGGACGGAAGTTCCAGTTTCCTTGCTGGCTGTCGGCTGGGGCCACGCTTAGCCCCTGCAGGCATCTCTCTGGTCCTTACACAGAGTTGCCTACATCTCCGGCTGCAACAGGGTGATGGATCCTTCTTATGCTGCCGTTTCTCTGACTCCCCCCTTTCCCTTCTTTTTTTTTTTTTTTAAAGATTTTATTTATTTATTTGAGACAGAGAATGAGAGAGAGAGAGCACATGAGAGGGGGGAGGTTCAGAGGGAGAAGCAGGCTCCCTGCCAAGCAGGGAGCCCGATGCGGGACTCGATCCAGGGACTCCAGGATCATGACCTGAGCCGAAGGCAGTCGCTTAACCAACTGAGCCACCCAGGCGCCCTCCCCCTTTCCCTTCTTATTCCACTTTTCAGGACTCATGCAGTTCAGGTTGGGGCTCCCCCAGATAATGTGAGATCGTCTCCCCACCTCAAGGTCTACAACCTTAATCCCATCTGCGAAATCTCTTGTACCCTGTAAGGTAACATATTCAGAAGGTTTGGGGACTGGGCATCCACAATGTTGGGGGGCTGTTGTTTTGCCTAGCACACTCTCAACTAAGAGTCACCTGAAAACCCTTGGCCTGTAAGTGATCAATGTGTTTCAGTGATAGGACCTGCTCCATAATGCCTAGGTCAGGTTTCACTTTTTTTTTTAAGCACATCTGAAGTTGAAGCTGATATCCATTGCTGGCTTGATCTCATGTTCCCATAAATAGAGCTGAAGGGCATTATCAGACATACCGTGGAATCCTATGCTCTCAACAGCAATCTCTGCCATTCCATCTTCCTCTTTTGCCCCCAAAATTAGTAGCTAAAATTTAAATCATTCCAGTTCGACCCCAGTGGGATGTCAAGAAGAGAGTTTACCTGGGTGTAGACAACATGAGACTTCACTATACTTTTTCTATGAGTTGTGTTTATTTAAGTATTTTTATAAAAAATGTAAGCAGAACTAAGGTGTATCATCTTACGATAAGTGTTTTTCCTGGTATATATTCTCGCTACACCTCCCGGTTTGGTCCCCACTGGAAACACCTTGACTGCTTCTCCAAGGAGTCTGTTTCCTTCAAATGCAGGAAAACCTCATGTCTCGTCTCTGATCACAGTGCTCACAGAGAGTGGGCAGCACGGGCAAGACAGGAGCACCATTTCATGTGGGCCGCATGGTGGATCACCAGGAAAGTAATAAATGATAAAGGAAGGTGGACCGTCGCTTCAGGATGGGGGAAGGAGAGGGGCTGGACTTCCAGCCCTGACTTGATATGGGATTAAAGCCACACAGGCTGGTTCAGGCAGGAGTGTGAAGAAGAAATGCTACTAATGTCAGAAGGAGACAAATACAGAAAGACCCAGGGCTGTTTTCAGTAGGTAGAGGACATTGGATATCTATCTCTCTCTCTCTCTCTCTGTCCCCTGCTCCACAAATGAGCCTGCCTGTCCTTAGCCACAGCAGCTTGCTTCTTTTTCCAGAAAGAGTCTTGGGTCAGGATTCCTCAGGCCCAAGCAGTGTCATCTGGGAGCCAGTCCGGAGACCCCAGTTGGAAATACTTGTCTGTCAGAAAACATTCAGAGGAGGCTGCCTGAAGAGTCCCTGTAATGGAGCTCTTAACGGGATTTCCATGCGGACTCACAGGGGGAGATTCGTCCTCTCCACACCCCTGCTAGAATGCTTGTTCGGTCCCCAGTGTTCCCTGCTGATAGGACATCCCCTGCAACTGTGATGTGACTTGAATGTGCAAATAAGCATCCAGAAATCCTGGAACCCTTCCTGTAGCCTTAACTAGAGGGGATTTTTTTTTTTTTTTTGCAATTCCTAAACTTCTATTTTTCTTTCTTCTTTTTCTTTCTTTCTTTCTTTCTTTTCTTTCTTTCTTTCTTTCTTTCTTTCTTTCTTTCTTTCTTTCTTTCTTTCTTTCTTTTTTTTCTTCTTTCTTTCAATTCCATTAATTAACATAGAGTGTATTATTCATTTTAGAGGTAGAGTTTAGTGACTCATCAGTTGCATCCAACACCCAGTGCTTATCACATCACGTGCCCTCCTTACTGCCCCCCTCACCCCCCTCCTCTCCTAGAGGAGAATCTAATGGAAGTTTGCAGCATGAGTTAAAAGAGCAGTGAGGGTGGTGCGGTGTTGCCCACGCCTCTAAAAATCATGCACGCCAGACCAATAACTGCCCGGCTGGGAGTGGAAATGGAAGCCTAGGAGTACCTTCATCTAGTACCTTCATCTAGTGTCTGCTCCTCATCATCCAGAAGATTATCTACAGGGACCATAGCAAGGTTCGAATTCACAGCTCACGCAGGTGCCAACTACTGTCCAAGAAATTATTTTCTTTTTGCAGTACAAATACCGGCACAGAAGTGAGTTAATTGGAAGGAGGGCCGTTGGCAGAGAACAGGCGAGCTCCCTCCTGTCCATGCGGAGGTTCTGACGACTTGCCTTTGCTAAGAGACAGGAACTCTTAGACTGAAGTTATTCCTACTGAGCTTGCTCTGGGTGTAATTCCACGGGACACTTGCAGGTCAGCTGAGGGGGAGCTGGGCGGGGGGATCTCCCCCCATGTCCAGGCACGTGTCCAGACGACTCACTGCTCCCTGTGGAAGTGACAATTCCTGCAAGAGCCGGTCGTTGCCCACTTCCAGAACTCACAGACTTAATAATGTCTACAGAGTAGTTGGTTTGGATTTTTTTGGTCATGCTTTGAAAGGAACGGGTATCAGAATGTCTTGTTAGGGCCCCAAGTGGCAACCCATTTCAAAGTGGAGGCCAGCATTTTTGCTGCGTTTCCCTGCTGGACTGCTGAACATCAGCAGAAGGCAGAGTGGCTTTTGAAAGACAGGACCGCACGTTCTGCGTGGAGCACTGGGTGTTATATGCAAACAATGAATCATGGAACACTACATCAAAAACTAATGATGTAATGTATGGTGATTAACATGATAAAAAATAAATAAAGTCTAAAGTTTAAAAAAAAAAAAAAGACAGGGCTGTTCACACTTGGGTTTTCACCTCCTCAGTGTAAGAGAAACCCTGACCAGCAGGCAAACTAGAAGCATACTAAGATTCCCATTTGCCTTAGTTACAAACACTGGATAAAAAAAAAAAATCACATTTGGCAGATCTTTTGTTCGCATAGTTCATTGAGTTCATGATGAGATGAGATCCGTATGTAGCATACAGATAGCACTGGGTACGAGTGGGAGTTTGGGATTCCGAGAGTCGCGAGTTTGCTTCCCTAGTCCGTCCCTCGACTCAAGCTCAGCGTGACCTCGAGTTAGCTTGTTACCTATTTAAATATCAGTTTCTTCAGATGTAAAATAAAGATAACCTCTCCTTGTAGGCTGATGGGAGATTTATACACACGGCAGTCTAGGGAGCTCTAAGCGCAGTCTGACTCAGTACTCTAACTAGGTATTAGATGTTGTCATCTTTGCTAGCGAAATGAAAGAACTAAACCATCAACGGTATGAGATGTTATGTCTTTCTCAAGAGGATAATCTTCTTTGAGGGTAGCTAAAGACTATTTTAAAGTTAATCTCTTCTTCCTTTGGAACAGACAGAAAAAAAAAACAGCAACAAATGATTAGTGCAACTATCTTAACTAACCTCTTACAATACAGTGATGTGGGACTAAAATACTAGGTCCAATACATCTGCTTGTATAACTTGGAGCTGACTGTGCTGTGTTAGGTCATGAATTCAAGGTCTGCAGCAACCCAGTGGATCCAGGATGGCTCTGAACTTCAGCCATAAAATGAACAAAGATCCCGAGCAAAACTGCCGGGAGTCCGGGCAAAGCAGCGCTGTCCGGGGGAGCAGAATTTCCTGGGCAGAGCACCTTCCTGACCCTGGCCTCCACCCAGGAGCGCCTCGCCTCTATGAATGCACATTCAAGGTCTAAAATACAGGGCAGTTTCACAAGCCATTGCCTGGGCAATGGGCGGGGAGGCACAGGACTTCCTGGCAGGCTTTTAGATCTCAACAATAAAACACCTATCAGCCCTCGGATGCCCTGGAGAACTCTCCGGACTTCTCCTATAGAAGGAAAGAGCTAACCTCCACCCATGTGATGAATCGCCCTGTAGAAATTTTCTGACATACGAGACTGGCACCAGTTCTGAAATTTCACTGTAGCATTTCCCGCTCTTGGTAAGGGAGTAGGAGTTAGGCACGGTTCTAGTACTTTAACTCCTTAGCTCTTTTTTGAAAGTCTTCGCTGCGCAATGATTTTATAGAGAAAGGAAGATTCCCAATCAACAGCTCAATTAAAAGCGTTTCCCTGGGTGGCACGTTATTTCAGAAAGCACAGGGATGGGAAGGAATCCAGTTTTTCTTGAGACTAAGGAGTTGCCTGAAATTGCCACCTGAATCCTCTTGTTCCCTGAATAATAACAGGCCTAACTGTGAAATTCAAAAATCTTGCTCAGGAAAAGAGAAAGGAAGAAAAACAGCAACAGCTGGCTCTGAAATTTCCTGGAGACAAAAACGCCGGCCCTGCGGAGGTGCAACCCACTTGCAATTCTGCCCGACGGAGTGTGACGCCCCGCCCCCCGCCCGTGTGTCTGCGCGCATGCGCACAGCTGTTCGGTGGGGGGGCTGGGGGAGGCAGAGCGTCGGCCCACTACGTCATGGTCATGGCCACGCCCCTGCCGCCGGACCCCCAAGCTGGCTTCCCGCGCTGGACAACCTTGAGTGGTTTCCAGGGTTTCTTGTTTCCTCTCTTTCCCTCCTTTTCCTCCTTCCCTCCGTTACCCCAACCTCTCTCAAAAGAATTTTAGTCCTGTGACACTTGTGCGGGGAGAGGGCTTTACTTGGCGGCTTTTGGTTTACAGGATCGTTGGTGAACAATCAGTCTGTCTGGCAGGAAGGTACGCCCACAAATATTACAGGGAACCAGCTGGCTCAGGGCGCTGGTCCAAGCAGCTTCGTTTAAGGCATCGAGATCATAGAAGCCTTTGGCTGAAAAGTTAAAGAAGAGAAAAAAAAAAAAAAAAAAAGAGGAACAAAAAGGAAAGAAAAGAAAAAGAAAAATGGTAAAATGGATCAGTTTTTATTCTGGAGAACCATACTCTACTTTTTATGGAAAATATTTTCAGGAAATACCTGTTGACTGAGGCTTTTAAACAAATCGTACTACTTTTGCCAAAAAAAAAAAAAAAAAAGTACCACTCCCTCTTGCAAGGGTTGAATAAAAAGTTAGCTATGAACCAGAGACTTTTCACTCCTTGGATTTTAAAAAGGGGAAGACATTGTTTTATGTGTTATGATATGCATTCTTCACTAATTATTAACATCTTTGCTTACACATTATTATCTTGCAAATACAACTTTTGGCCTTCTTTCAATTGACTCTAAATATAAACTTACAAAGGGAAAAGAACATGCATTTGTGTTTTCCTCTTCTGTAATCCCTTCAGTGGAATGTTCCGAAAAGCCAAAACTGACAGTCGAGGGTGAATTTAGGATGAATGATATCCTAAAAATGTATCATCTCTTCAAGGCCATAAACTTGGAGATTCTTTAAATAATTAAAGTGAAGAATGCAAACAGAATAGTTAATCTGACGAAAAGAAGTGTCCTTAAGAAAACAACCAAGACATCTGAGAAATGTATAATCTTCATTGGCAGAGCATAGGAAAAAAGGCATATGGCTTTATTTTAGAAAAACAGTGTGGGATTTAGCTTTAATAAACCTTATTTAAATAGAATGGCTTTAGTACATTAAATTGACTGTGTCTTCAAATCGCCCCAAATAGGTCCCCTTAAGTGTAGCCAGGCACTCAAACATAAATTGCATACTTTTCTTTTTATCATTTTCACAGCAAATATTTCTTCATTAAAGCCCAGGCAAATCTCCTGTGACTTCTTCCTAATGGTTCACACAAGCATAGCAAACTTTAGATTCCCATCCTGCTACTCCTCATGTTCTTTATTTTACTTGATGGGAAATTGAACCCCAGCACAACCTCATTTTTCTCCTTTGGACAAATCAGTATCACTTTCCATACGAATGTGTATTTTGAAAGCTTTGAAAACTATTGAAAAAGGAATGGCACAGACTTTCTCCTTACTCATACCATGTAATATGTATTCAAAAATTCCAGAGTATTCATTGAGTCTCACTGGTGATGATTCATCACATCGCTAAAAGTTTTTGAGCAGGGCTTTGACTTTGGATCTGGAGGAAGGGTTGTTTGGATTCCGTGACCATAGTAAGTCCGTGGGGGTAGAAATGAGAATGGGAATTCTCTCTGCCTCGAGATGAATGACACCTTCAGAAACAAAAACAGCATGGCGCCCAGAGGAAGACTGCAGGGAAGTACAGTGATAGGGCCTACCATTTCCACCTGTGGCCAGTAAGAGACTAATGAACCCCACCCAGGGCCTTCAAGCCCATCATTTCTCTCTCCTCTTCGAGACTCGTGATCATTATGCTCAGGCACAGAAGGTGATAAAGTCAGAAGTGAAGAAAACAGATTTTTGACACCACAGAGAATTGCTAGGAGACAGTTTCAATGAGGCAAACAAGGTCTTTGTGGGCAAATGCTCTAATTTCAGTGGATGGATGTGTTCATCTTGAGCCCTTTTCCCACCTGAATGATGAGTCCTCCTACTCTTGGCAAGGACTGTGAATAGTCGGGTTCTAGCAGCCTCTAGAACTTTATCGTGACAACCTAGATTCCACTCTGTGGATTGTTAAGAGAACTCTCTTGTGTCACATTTCTGACAAGAGTGCTCTGGACTGATCGATACTAAATGACTTGGAGGTACCCTTCAGTTATGCAAATCTACAGTTACAGAATGAGGATTACTAAATTGAATGATACTTTTCTTAAAACCAAGAATGATTTTCCTTTGAGGTGATCCACTGAGAAAGTGACGATGGTAGAAATAAGATTAGCAAGTCTGAGTTGGCCTGGCAAACATTCTCTGAACTACTTTGTTCTCACCCCAAATGAACAAGCAAAGGCTCCATAAGTAGGCCACACACGGAAGTTTATGGGGTTTCATTTGGCTTGTGTGGTGCTTTACAAAGCATTAATTGCAAAATTTGAAAGATCTGGGCATTGCATATCGATTTCTGGATTTACAGATTCTTTTGTGTTTTCGAAAAATATGCCCACACTGGGCTACATTTCTTAATGGTAACAGCAGGAAGCAGGGGGCCGTGGCCTCCTTTAAAGAGAGTCGGTATTCTCCCACTCCCCATGGTCACCACCCTCCCTTTTGTCATACGTGGACTAATTTATTTAGTTTTGCACCCTGGCTGATGGACCCTGCAAACTGTGAGTCCGGTACCCTGCTCTGTGAACACTAAGACACATTCATATTTGAAAACATGTCTCCAGGTGCCCGCCAAGATTTTTTAAGCTTCATGTTTTTTAAGTATAAGTCTGATAATATATGAAAGTAACTTTTGGGAAATACAGGGAATGCCAGTGGGTCTCTCTCCTTGCACAGTTTTGACAATAGTGTCTTTACATCTTAGCATCTGAGGCCCTTTGGTCAGGCATTCTAGAACTGTTTTTCCTATTTGGTTATAATCAAGACAGTAAATGTTGCTGGTTGCAGTTATTTGAATAAATAAGAAGGAATACCTCTCCTCTTATAAGTTCAGAGAGAAAAGTCTCCCTTTACAGACTCAAGTGTTTTTTTGTTTTTTTTTTTTCCCAAAACTTACCTGTAATGGTCCTGACTTCTGGTTTTTTAGGTTCTGATCTCCTTAACTCTTTAGGTAACAAGTTGTTTTCATTATGCCACTTTTTCAGACATTGTGGTTCATGGATGGCAATAGATTTTGTTCCATATTCACGACCACAAATGTAGCAGATAACTGTTGGTGGACGCCTTATCATTGTTGGCTACAAGTAATATAAAATATCTGTTAGATAAAGTGCAGGTGTAGAAATTACACTTTAAATTATAATACAGTCACATTAGCTAGACAATCACATTTTTAAAAATTCCAACCAGTCAGGTAAATTGAAATTTTTTTGACAACTAAGAGAATAAACCATGTCATCTGAGTGACTGGGGTGGGGGTGAGGGTGTGGAACGATAGGAGATAAAGAAGAGCTGACCAGAATTCTACAAATTGGTACTTTGTAAAATGTGTTTTCTCATTTAATGATTTTTGATTACTTATCTTCTGGCCATTCTCCACGCTGGGAGACTACAGAAATAAGAATCATCTTTTCAGTAACATCATGCTCTATTATGCCAATACTTCTGAGAAGTAAAGTCATTAAGCGTCATTGGAGAGTCTAGAAGGGACACTGTGTACCGTCCCACATTCCCTCACCTTAACAACTTCCTGTGATTCTAAGCCTTTTCTGACCTGGAGCAGGCTCCACCCACAAGCAGGGCGGCTAATCAATCACAAGTGGGAGTTGATCGATAATGGCCACTTCACCGAGGCTGATTCCATGCAGTGTTCCAAGAGCCCCTGGTGGGATTTCACCTCAGCTGCTCATTCACACACTATATAGATTTCCTTCTCTTCCCTGTCGCTCCTCCCACTACTTTACTGGGGGTCATGGGGTCACCTCCCCAGTAAACTACTTGAACTCAAATTCTTTTCTTAGCACTTGTTTCTGGGAGAACTAAATCTAAGGAAGACTGAAGGATAAAACAGAATAGGGACTTTCTGCTTCTCTCCAGGGTATAGAAAGTGACAAGAAACTTTGCTCCCACCTAAGCAATAAGAACAAATCAGAGAGCTTATGGAACCATAAGTTTTTAGTCTATTGGAGAATCAAAGTTGCAAGGCAAATTAATGAATAGAAGGACTGCCTGAGTTTGAGAGTGGATCAGCACAACCAAAAGAGTATCTCCCATGCTGCAACCTTATGTGAATATGAGACAGCAGGTGTCTGCCACAGAGAAAAGGCAGGACAGCTGAGTGTGAACCCTACTGAAATGCAGGCATGCAGTAACTATCTATGTAAGTCCTCCCACACCCTGTCTTACACCCAGTAACAATAAGGGGTGGGGCAGTCTAACAATGCGGAGAGAAACCCTCACGAATTCAAGAATGCAGGTCCTGCCTAAATCTGAAGGCTGGAGAATTAGGCCTTGCTCTGGGTATGAGATAAGAACAATCAACTGCTGATGGAGGGATAGGAACTAAGGAGGGAGGGGGCAGTAGGAGGGACTCCCTCCGTGTTGCATGCAGGAAGGGTCCAGAGCAGCTCAAGGGTGCGGCAGGAGAACAGGGAAGAGCCTTGTAGCTCCAGACTTTATACGAAGTACAAGGCAGGGGTAGCTTACCACTGGGGAGTTTAAAGCCCAGAACTAAGCTTACCTAAAGCAAGGACTAAACATTGGAAATAGATTGTCCTAGAATTCTTAGATTTTTCTTAAACTGATTTTTTAAACACAGAATGTGATATATTAAAGGTGCAAATTTTAATGTCTACAGTAATCACAAACCACAAACACATGCAAAGAGGCAGAACTAAAAATTCAACATGGGACATAGAATTAAAAAAAAAAAGGTAAGTTAACCAGTTGCCAAAGAAAGATAGGGAAGAAGGAACCAAACAAACAACAAACAAACAAACAAAAAAAAGGCAAGAGGAATAGAATTAAAACACCAAGGTGATGATAGACTTACACTCAAACATATCAATAATTGCAGCAAATATAAATGGACTAAAGAACATAATTGAAAGGTATGGATTGACAGACTAGATAAAATAAAAAACCTCTAGATGAAAAACCCCAACTATATGTTGTTGACAAGAAACACATTTTATGAATAAAGGCACAAACAGTTTACAAGCAGAAGGATGGGGAAGAAGTTTCATGTAAACACTAAGCAAAAGAGGATGAGTATGACTTTATTAGTGGTCACACCTAAATGAAATGCAAAGGTTGGAAATGTTTCTTCCAGTTGTGAAGATCAGGGAAGCCTGAAGGAAGTAGCATTTGGAGAATGGGTAGAGTTTGGATCACAGAAGGTTTTGGAGATGGGAAAGAGCGTGAGCGAAGCTTCAGGGACAGGAACCTAAAGGTGAGTAGAGAGAAGAGCAACTAATATAAAATATTTCTATTAATAATAACAAATAGTTGCCCAGTGATAAATGTAGACTTGAGAACTATAATCAGATAGTTTGGCTGCAGCCATGCTATGAACAACCACGAATGCCATGTTAAGATCTGGATTTTGTTTTGTAAATGATAGGAAGCTATTAAGCAGGGGAATAACCTATCATTGTACTTATAGAAAATTAGTCTGGCAATAATGTATCTCCAAGGGTTGTGTTGGCAGCACATCTATGAGAGCTTGAGCATCCTTGGGTAGGAAATCATGGATCCAAGAGAACATCAGTGGTGATGTCACTTGCAGAAAAGAGGAAACCCGGAAAGGCAGGTTAGGGAAGGAGAAAAAAGTAGATTCTGTTCTGGACGTGTTGCATTTGATATCCTAGTAGAATTCAAATGTAAGTCCAGCCAAAAGAGCAAATAGAGGCCTGTCATTTGGAATTAATGGGTTTCAGAGCTTTGCACGCAGAGATGATGTTTAAAACCGTGAAAATTCCAGAAAAGGAGAATATAGAGTATGTATGGAGGGAAAGTCCTGAGGGAAATCTACAGTGAAGAGATTGGGCAAAGGAAATCACAGCCTGAAAAGACAAAGGTTCAAGTTCTCCATTAAAGAAACAGGGCGTGGAGACAAAAGACTCCATGGAGAATTCAGGAGACACTTCTGGTTTCCAGAAAGGCGGCAGCACTTCTGTCCAATGCCACAGGGAATAATGGGGGGCTGAGGAAAGTCGCTAATTTGGTTGCTGACAGATTATATGCCAGTGACTTTTGAGAGTTGAGCTCTAATAGAGGGATACGGGTAAAAACTTAACTGTTAAAAGTTAAGGATTAGGTCAAGGAAAACAGAAATACACCTTCAAAAAGTTTGCAGAAAGGAAATTTGAGACAGAGGTGGAGCTGAAGAAAGATCTATTTTGGGGGTACCTGGATGGCGCAGTCAGTTAAGCCTCCGACTCCTGGTTTCAGCTCAGGCCCTGATCTTAGGGTCATGAGATGGAGCCCCACATTGGGCTCTGCACTTAACTAGGGTCTGCTTGAGATTCTTTCTCTCTCCCTGCCCCTCTCCTCTGCTCCCACTCTCTCTCTAAAATAAATAAATCTTAAAAAAATAAAGAGATCTGTTTGGTTGTTGTTTTAGGGGTAGAACAATCTCTGGCAGAAAGAGACAGGACTGAGAGCAGAGGGCTAAGTATGGGAGCAAGGTCTCCGAGGAGGCAGGAGGAGATGAGATCCCAGGATGTAATTAGACATGTTAGCCTCTGAGGACAAGGAGAAAAGATGAAAGAGAGATGGTTCATCACAAAGTGAGGCACAAGAAGGAGCTCCTACAGGATGAATTCAGTCTTCTAACTATGAGGCAAACCATCTTCAGAGAATGAAGAGATTTGGATTCTGGGAAATAAAATAGCAAAAATTACTGAGGTTTTTGCAAAAACAAACTGGGATTCTCTTGGCACCGCAGAGAATGTGACAGTCATTTAATTAGGGAAGAATACTCACCCAATAATGGGAAGACCCAGGGAGGCTGAGCTGCAAGCAACTTAGTGGAATGAAAAGACCTTTGCCAATGTTTGTAAGTAGCACTGGGTGACGTGAAAGCAGAAACAAATTAAGTTGGTGGTGTGGTTTCCTCTGGGGATATAAGACACGGTAAAATGTGTGCATGTTTGAGAGTCAGCCAGCTTTTCACTAAGGCTCATGGGGGTTACACCTGCAGTGCAAAGAGAGCAAAATCAAAGCAAGAAGGAAGCATGTTTCTTGTTTCCGCATACCCGAGCAGAAACTACAGATTCTAGATGAGTGAAGCTATTAATACACAGCAAGCAAAATGGAAAATGGAGTTACTCCTGAGATGATCCACTTTTAAAAAAACACACATTATTTGCTAGAGGGGAGGTGGATGGGGGACAGGTGAAAGAAGGTAAAGGGGATTCGGAGGTACCAACTTCCAGTTATAAAATAAGTAAGTCACGGAAATGAGAAGTACAGGTAGGGAATATGGTCAGTAATATTGTAGTAACGTTGTATTGTGGCAGATGGTAATGACACTTGTCTGGGATAAGCACTGGGAATTTACAGAATTGTCAGATCACTATGTTGTACACCCGAAAGTAATATAGCATTGTATAATACTGTATGTTGACTATACTTCAGTAATTAAAAAAATTTTTTTAAATATTTTAATTAATTAATTAATTAGAAAGAAAGAGAGCGGGGGAGGGGCAGAGGCAGAGAGAATCTCAAGCGGACTCTGAGCTCTGTGCAGAGCCCGATCTGGGGCTCGATTCCATGACCCTGAGATCATAACCTGAGACAAAGCCAAGAGTTGGATGCTTCACTGACTGAGCCACCCAGGCGCCCCAAAAGAATCATTTTTTTTTAAAAGCACATTATTTGAAGTAGAATATTTTTCTTCTATTATTCTATGCTGAACTATGCCAATAAACTACATTTATCAAAAAATGACTAAATTGTTTTTAGCCTTCTTGTTTATTAGCCGTGTAACAGGATCTAATGCCTGAAAAGTGACTTTAAAAATAATGCAATATAAGTTAAGAAAAAAAAAAGAAGAAGGTAGCGGGAGGGGAAGAATGAAGCGGGGGAAATCGGAGGGGTAGACGAACCATGAGAGACGATGGACTCTGAAAAACAAACAGGGTTCTAGAGGGGAAGGGGGTGGGAGGATGGGTTAGCCTGGTGATGGGTATTGAGGAGGGCACATTCTGCATGGAGCACTGGGTGTTGTGCACAAACAATGAATCATGGAACACTTCATCTAAAAGTAATGATGTAATGTATGGGGATTAACATAATAAAAAAAAAATTTGGCGAATTCGAGACCTAAAAGAAAGGCTAAAGCAGAAGCAATGATTTTCAAAATACCCAACAGTTACTATTTTTTACATGTTCAT